AATTTATTACATTATTCATGGTGTATACCGGGCGAGAGGTCCAATGTTTTGTTAACTTAATAATATTTTTTGCTGAGTGGAAACAGAAGTCCAATCTTGTAGGGCATTACTCATAGGTGACCTTTTTTCAAAATATAAGGCTTTCTTGTTCAGAACTATAAGGCTAGAATTTCCTGTATAAGTAAAATTCTATCTGAAACAGCAGCTCTACGGTTTTATCATTGATTTCTCAAGTTATTTGGGACCTATACTGTTTTCAGCTCACCGATTCAATTATACAGGGTGGCCCGTCCATGTGTGGACGGAATTACTCATAAACAAATACATTTCGGGAAAATCTATTTACGGGATGTTATACATGATTATACAGGGTGTCCCAATTCGACCTACATATCAAAGTTGCGATTTATCAAGTTTTATTGCTTATTTGATAAAAACCATTTCAAAAAGAAAGACCATGATCTATCATTATATGGGGTTTTTGGTTTGATTACTTACCGAGATATAAGGTGTTCTGTCTAGAAAACCCCCCACTTGGGCAACCATCAGGTCGCCATTTTCAAATTTGGAGAGCTGAATTTTGTATAAAAACACTTACACACCTCAACGTTTATCTTATTTGTTACTTTTTCGAATTTTCATTTTTGCTCATACAGGATGGTCAAAAACGCAAATTGTAGTTTTTCTCAAAAATTTTAAATGCATCACCCTGTATATTTGTGCAAGTTTGGATTCAATCTTTTTGGTACTAGACACATAAAGGTTTTTACGGCTATTTTTTTTATGGAACGGCTCAATTCCCTAAAATATCGCATCATTCTTGAAAACAAATAAATTGTTGAAGAATGAAGGCTTTCACATCTAATTCTAATTTCATTCAGGTTTTCCGGGCTGTTGAGTCGTGGTCGGGTTGGATACATGTAAAACATGCCATAAATAGATTTTTCCAAAATGTATTTGTTTATGAGTAATATTCCGTGCTTACCCTATTATAAATTGAGATATACCAACCCCAGCCCCCACAGCCCGCCCCTTAATTCTTCATCACTATTTTTTTTCAAAAAATTATATGACACTATGGCAAGAACGAAAAAATAAGAATTGCTCAAATTTCGTTTGATCATGAAGTGGGAAATATGGAGTCAATCTACTTGACGCCATTTTTTAATATTAAGTTCAAGTTGGGGTCATCACACACTCCGCCAGGAAGCCTCTTGATTCATATCAAGGACCAACCAAACGTGATTATGAAATAAAATCGAATCTCGCGAACGCCAGGTTTTCGACTGGACTAAGCACCTCTTCCCATTTCTGTCGATTGGCCTGATACCAAATCCCGAATACCATCAACATTTTTTGCCTCCCCATAATCAAATCCGACCGTTTCGTTGCCCGAAAGCAGAACTAATTTATCACAAAAGGGTAGCTAATAAAAGCGGAAGAATGTGTTTAGCGTAATTTAGACGTGAAGCCCTGGTAAAAGCAACAGTGCGATATGATATTCGGCCTGAACACTTTCAACAAATCTTACCCAAATATAGAACAGGCTGACAACCCGAACCCGGTCGCTTGTTATAGAAAAAAAATGTACAATAAAAAATTCGAAAATGAAATTTGGGTGTTATATAAAACAATTAAAAAAAATCTGCTTTACATTTTCTTATCTTCTTTGTATTTGCATGCACTTGTATTTCTTTTTAGCCCTGGTTGGTTCAGAAAAACAGCTTTTGCCAAACAAAATAAAGGCCATTAATTATTATATATGGTGACTTTGAAGTTGAGTCATTAATTTTCAGATAATGATTGTAGAAGGAAGATAAACCAAAATATGTGTGTAAAAATAAAAAAAAATGTTACCTTGAAAATGATTATAAAGTATCCTCCCCTGTGAGGTCTCAATTCACCTGATTCACGAGCCCTTTGTAACATTAACAAAGGCACGAGGGGTTGGTTGCATAAATCCGTGATGCCGCGGCAGCATTTTGTAGACTCCCCCCCCCCGTAAATAAGAATCATGTCCACAAGTTCAGCATTTTCGTAAACATGTACCATTTTTCATTTCGTTTATGCCACGCAACAAACACCACTATTCACTCACGCGTAACCGACTGACACATTGACTGAATACAACTGAATAAAATTGTAGTAAAAACATCGTGATAAGCGTTTCAAATTCTTTCGCTTTTTTGTTTCCGATGCGATGAACCGATAAGGCGGATTATATCCGTTGTTGCCAAACACGAGCACATAATATTATTATTGAGACAGGGCGGTACTCAAACTTCTAAAGGGCTATAACTTTGTTACTTTAATTTTACCAGAAAAATGTTAAAGGAAAAAAACATTTCTTTTGATCAGATCTACTCACTGTTAAAATAAATGACTCAACTTCGAAGTCACCCTGTATATTAGCCCCTTGTGACTTCTTCCATGCAAAATAGTGCTTCGGGGTTGGCACTTGGGGGATGTGGAAGCCTTGATGGCAGAAACGACACAGCAAATGAAGAGCCTCACAAGACTCTCAGATCCGCATAAATCCGTGATGCCGCGGCAGCATTTTAGTATTTTGAAGGAGACAATATTGAAAGTTTTGTAGCTTTTGAAAATCGATCCAGTCGCGGGGAAAAAAAGACCGAAAACAAAAAAATTAAAAACGCTATTTGGCGTTGGGAGGATCCTTGAAAAAAATGGTAAAAAATTGGCAGGTTGTAGGATGGGAGGGAAGAGTGTATCTTTTTTTTATATTTACATATTCATACGCCCCCGTGATTCTCAAAAATTGAATAGACAATGTAGATTCAGAACATACGATTTGGAATCAACAACTATCGTTTGGAAAGAATGTTGCATACGAGCACCTGTTAATTTACTACAAATGTAACGTAACCGTAACGGATCATCACTCGGAAGCTTAGCACGCGTCTCTCCCGCGGAAAATTGCCAAACGTTTGCCGAGCTGCCAAGTGATTCTTCAGATTTTTCTATTTAACGTCATAAAATTACATTGTTGTAGCACCAATGAATCTGAATTGCGTCTGTCTTTACGACCATAAGCCACCGTACACAACGTTGTTTCGTGCTTTTTAGCAACCACCGGTACGATATAGGTCTAATCATTTAGAGACAGGTGCACCAGAAATTCATTCAATACTGCATAAGGAAACTTTGTTCTCTCTGGATACCGTACGACTTGGTGCCGAAAGATGTTTGATAGTCACTCTTATTGGTCAATTCGCCATTAAATTTCAAGCGGTCGCCTGGCAGAATAATGCGCGGGGCAGGGCTGCGTGCTCGTGTTTTCGCGTAATTTGTTAAGTTTCTGTTAAATACTGTTATCTTTGTTTTACAACACGTTGGAGGTAGCCCTGAATGCGGCCCTGTATGCCGTCCTTGCTTTTGGCAATCACGCATCCATTCTATCTTGGGTGTAAATACACTATAGACCCTGCACCTTTACAATAGTACAAGCAAGGTAGAAGGCATGAGATAATAAATAATTAGTTATTATCTCCGCGGCTTTGGTAATCATTTAGGATGTTGGATTTTTTGGAATTTCGTACCAAAGCCTTTTGAATGTCTCCCACCATGCACAGTTAGTGACTACTCTTAGTATCGCTGATTTTATTGTCATTATAATGTTTTCCTTTAATTACGGTATGATCTTCGGCTTGATATCTCAAAGCAAACCATTCCACAATTGACAAATAGTAACAATCGCAAGAAGCGGGGTCGAAATCCTTGCGAAAACGAAGTCAGGTGAAATAAGTTGTCCTTTGATCTATCTCCCTTATCCTCTCCAATGAATCAAACCACACATGTGGAATAACCTATTTTGCTATAATTCAACATATGTGGTTTCGTTTACTGGGCGGATATTACGTTTTTATTTGTAGATAATGTAAAACACTTTATGGTTTATCGTTTCTTCCAAGCCATAGAATGATTTTTTCTTTTGTGAAATTTCGGTTGAATGGAAGAGCGGATCTCTCTATTCTTAAACTTTTAAAAGTTCCAAAAAAAGCTAAAAAAAAAAATGCCCCGAGCGGAAAAAACAATTTTTCGTAATTTGTTTTAAATTGTTCAGATGAGTCATCCAACAAACGGGATAAAGAAAGAAAAGTCGATTCCAAATTTTCTAGCGATATCTTTTACAAGAATGTTTAAACTTTCTAACAATATTGATATTCCACCATACTGAAAATGCATGCATTTTTAACAATTCTATATCTTTTCAAGTGGTGGGTAGCAATTTTTCTGAAAATGTTCGTCTAATTATGAAAAAAATCTGATGATAATAGTGGTAAGAAATTAGGTAGTTAAATAGTTGATTTCTGGAATGATAAATGTTACCACTATTGTCATCCTTTGAAATTTTGTATTACAGTTATACAGGGGGGTCCGCAAAGTTGGGGTTTTCCTTTACACGACGTGTAGGTATTAAGAAAAATAAGCTGATTTTCTTAGTAGCATATACACCAAAGTCTTAAGAGAACCGAGATATTGGGCTCCGAAAACCAAACCGAAGCCGGTCCTGTCCCATCCTCCGATCACATCCGCAGCGCCAGCGTACAGTTATACGTCGTACGACTACGATGTAAATGCGGATTTCACGACAGGGCCGTACTTGGAATTTCAATTCAACTGAACAGTGAGTAATTTTTCATTTATTCTTTTTTACTTGTTCGCTCACGTTCCACCACACATTAGCTTTGTTATATCAACCGTAATTGTGGCTGAAAACGAAAACCCCAACTTTGAGGACACCAGCTATAAGTTCTTGTATATGATTCAAATAAACGCACTAACATGCACTACTGCGAGGTTTTCATCAATGTTAAGACTTTTATTAATAAGTAATGTGTTGGAAATTGGAAATTGCAAAGTAATATAGCTGTTGATATAGCCAGAAAAGTGGGAAGGGGGTCGTATTATTTTGTATCCCGTCATCTAGTCAAATTTTTATTCTATTCTTTACCAAAAATAAAACATTAATTTCTTACCTTATCGTAGTCGAGGGTGACCGGCGGCAAGGAATCATCCTTCTGGCACAGATACTGGGAGAAGTACTTCTGGCAGCAGTTGTGGAAACATGCATGACAGTCTGGGGAACATAAAGTGCCACAGTTACAGCAACATGACGGTTGACATGAACACAGCAACGAATGAAACGAAAGGATTCGAGCGCAACTTTCTATACCAGCACCAGCTATACCCCAGGCCCTGAACAAGTCACCATCACTTGTCGCAGGGTTTGACACGTCGCCGGTTGAACCTGCGACTAAATCAGACACACTGTCAGAATTTTCATCCGACGTGTCAGACATAACTTCCTCCTCGAAATCTGCAATCCCTTGCGCCATGTCAAAATTATCAGCTACTTAAACCTTGCTGCACACTCGAGAACGCGGATACAATGGAGAGTTAGCGTCTTTTCCATCCGACGTCGCTTTAGAGTTCTCGGTGGATGATCACCAAAAGCAAATTGTACGCTATTTAAAGCTTGCTACACACTCGCGTCGCAACAGAAAGCAAATAAAGTAGATACGTTAGCGTGTTCCATGTCCGAAATCGCTTTAGTGTTCTCAGGAGGCTCACGCGACTTGATGAATCACAAACGCAACTCTGAGGTTGGCACAAAAAAAAGAATCGTTCGCGAAATGTGAAAATTACCCGCCACTCGAGAAACGCGAGACTAACAAAATGCCGCTTAGACAGTTTCGAAATTCAAACTATTTGTAATGGGATTTTAAAATAAATTGTCAACATTGCCGATTTTTCTCGACTACGCGACGAATTTCAATATGGCGTTTCGTTCTTCAGCATCAACTATATTTTTTCTTATCGAAGCCATATTGGATTCTTGCGCGAATAAACAGTTTTTAATTATGATTTATAATGTCATACACTGACACTGCCACCCCTTAAATGCAGGGTGTTTTAGTTTATTGTTGCGTAACTTTAAGATTCGATAGAACTTTTACGTGGAGTGGTAAATTTTCATAATCAACACATTTGGTCGCACGAAAATCCGCATGCAGTTCGGGAAAGAAATTTTCAGCATGAATTTAGTGTGAACGTGTGGATTGGTATCTACCGTAATCGACTATTTGGACCCTACCTTTTGCCTGCAAGGTTAAATGCTGCGACCTTTTTGGAATTTTTAAAGGCTGAACATGCAAATATGTGGGATGATGTTATGTTAGATTTAAGAAGATTGGCCTGGTTCCAGCTTGATGGTTGTCCAGCTCATTATTCGAGAATAGTTAGAAACTGGCTGGACGAAAATTATCCAGAAAGATGGATCGGCCGTGGAGGACCAGTCGCCTGGCCTCCACGATCCCCTGACCTAAATCCATTATTTTTTTTTTAATTTTTAAAGGCTGAACATGCAAATATGTGGGATGAGGTTATGTTAGATTTAAGAAGAGTGGCCTGGTTCCAGCTTGATGGTTGTCCAGCTCATTATTCGAGAATAGTTAGAAACTGGCTGAACGAAAATTATCCAGAAAGATGGATCGGCCGTGGAGGACCAGTCGCCTGGCCTCCACGATCCCCTGACCTAAATCCATTAGATTTCTTTGTGTGGGGATTTATAAAAGAAAAAGTAAACCAGACTCCCGTAACCACAAGAGATATGCTAATAGACAGAATCAGGAATGCATGTGATGAAATAAGGCCTTATTTGAATAATGCTATACCACGTTCGATCATTCGTAGATGTGAATTGTGTATTGAACAATTGGGTTTACATTTCGAGCAACTACTTTAGATTTTGTATGTTTGTCCTAACTATCTAATAGCATATCAGTTGTAAATAATTAATTTAATTTGTTAAAAATATTAAACAAATTAATATTCTGTTTTTTTGTGTTCATTTGGAGTTAGGAATTATTGCTGTGTTTAAAAACACAATCTAAACGATCATCTTAATTACTTGTAATGCCCAAATCGAAAATGTAAAAAAAAATATTATTTTCCCATAAATAATTAAAAATGCATCGAACCTTAAAAATCGAAATATCTCAAAAACGGCTAACTATAACGAAAACTCGCAGGAGAGCTTTTTTATGTTGAGAAGTGCGAAGAATCAGTTTTTTTAGTCAAAAAGCAAACAATTTTCGGTCATTTTAATACAGTACAGGTACAGTAGAGAGCGCCCTGTAGCGGCTACAGTAAAACTTTGCCCATGGTTCGTTTTGTCGTACCAAAAAACCGTTGTATACCAATTTTCACTGTTATACATCAAATATTGTTCGAAATATTTAAAAAAAACTATTTTAAAAATTAAATTTAAACACCCTGTATTTCGGAAGCCACGCATTTTTCGACCCATGTTCATATAGACTTTATGCATTAATTTTAAAAGTTCTATCGAATCTTAAAGTTATGCAACAATAAACTGAAACACCCTGTGTACAAGAAAAACAAAAAGTTCCTAGGTAGGCCTTGAAATTATCAGATAGTCATTTGTTTCGTATACCAGACCAGATCACAAATTGAACATAGTAACAAAGTTTATTACCATCAATAAATTTTTATGAAAAAACAAAGTTGGTGATTGAAATCGAATGAAGAAACCTCGAATTGAAAATTTGACTACTTGAAAAAAAAGAGAAAAGGTGAGAATCACAACAGGTAACTTACTTTGCAATCCCGTCTCGAGTAGAGTCAGAAGAAATAAAAAATGATTTTGCGATAAATACAACAAATTATAATTCCAAGAAAATTCTGTTTTTTTTTTAAATAAATGTATAACATATTTGGAATCAGAAATGAAAACTCTATCCATCTGTACAAAAATCAAATATGGGGTCCATAAGACAAATTAAAGTTGATGTTGTCGTAAAGATAAAAAGTGGCAACGTTAATTTATTTTCAATTCCCGCTACAAATAAAATCAGGAAACAAATAAAACGAAGTATTTTGAAAACAAAATAAGCTGTTTCTTAGTTGACACTGAAAACCCAAGTACCGTATATTCACTTATAACCGCAAACATAAACGAAATATAAAAAAAACTCAAGATCAAAAGCGCGCAAAACTAATCGCACAGTAATTAAAACGCATTCCACTAAAAAAATCTCAAAAATCCATTCAGCGCGAGGTACAAACCTAAGCGCACTCCACGACAAGTCAAACAATTTTTTTTTCGATATTTAAGGCTAGTTACACATCCGCGTCGCGAAACAACGCGACAAAGTCGAATATCCACACTACGCCTTCAGCGTCTGAAATCGGTCTGCAACGGAGGCTCTTCTCTTCAAGTTCAATGTCGGTTTGCGTTGAAGGGTAATACGAACGATCCACTAAGCTGGAAGCACGGATCGCGAATCCGTCAGGACTGCTTGCAATAGTGGTGGGGGCATGTTTTTCGCACATATAGAGCATGTGCCGAAACTAGCTCAGTAGGCAAATCTTGAGCCCCGCCACGGTATTAGCCGCGGATAGACCAATCTTCTGGATGTTGACATTTCATTTATTGGTCCATCTGTTCCACCCCCACCATTCGTTAGCCAACAGGGCGTTTCTCGCGTCATGAGCAATGCTCAAGAGGTCGGTAGAGGAAAATCAAGTTTGCATTGGCATTATGATGAATTAAACCACTTGTTTACAAGGTGAGGAAAAAAACTATTTTCAGACTATTTTGTCCCCGATTATCGGAAAACCGCCGTACATGTAGAACGGTGAGACTAGGTTTCATTAGGGGGCTGTTCGGTGATGAAGATGACTCAAATTCTGCATTTAATAATATTTCAAACCTTCAACATTTATATTTTCATTTTTGTATTTGTTTGTTCCTTAGCCCAATGTCGCAATTTTGGTATTTCGTCCAAATTCACCCTCGAGTGTTCGCGAACTTTGGGCTTTAAAAGAAAAAACTACTGTTCAGCAACGGATAAAACTCATATACGAGGTTTGCGCGCAAAATACATATAAAACTTTATTTGACAATTGTTCAGGTATTTCAATATGGTCTCCTTGCCACCAAATGCCACCCTGAAGCAGCAGTTTGCATTTTTTCAATGTTTAAAAATTCTGCTAAAAATTTTTTGACAGATGACGCGTGAATCGTGTCTTGTGTCATAGTCAAACTTGTTCAGTTTGGTCTATAATTTAACCATGAATCGACTTACGAACGAACAACGCTTGCAAATTATTGAATTTTACTATCAAAAATTCATGCTCGGTTAAGAGACTGCTTCCAATTTATGGGCAATTTGGTCGGCCTACTGAGGGAAGTATTCGGAAGCTTGTGACTAAATTTCGAACCCAGTTTACATTATTGGACATTAAACCACCAACACGCAGGCGTAGAGTGAGGACCGAAGAAAATATTGCGGCTGTATCCGCCAGTGTTAGTGATGACCTTGAAATGTCGATTCGCCGCCGTTCGCAGCAATTGGGCCTCTGTTACTCCACTACGTGGAAAATTTTGCGACAGGATTTGGGTGTAAAACCTTATAAGATACAGCTGGTGCAAGAATTGAAGCCACACGACCTCCCACAACGTTTCCAATTTGGTGAATGGGCGCTGGAAAAGTTATCGAAAAATTGTGTTCAGCGACGAAGCTCATTTCTGGTTGAATGGGTACGTTAACAAGCAAAATTGCCGCATCTGGAGTGAAGACCAGCCAGAAATTTTTATTTGTGAAGCTACCAATTAATGCTCAAACATTCCCCTACAAGACCCTGAAGAATTTTTGGGCTTAGCTTATTTTGAAGCATTGCTATTTGAGTGTTAAAAACGCACTAGAGGCCACAAATACTCTTCAGGTTCTTGTCGAGTTTGAACTGCAAGTCAGACATTTGAAAACCTCAAAAATAGTCGAAGATACGGCAATTTTTAAAGTTTCCAGTCGCCACTTGAAAACGGCCAACTTTTGTGAAATGTTACCAAGTCTTTTTTGTTCAAAGTGAGCCAAAAAAAAATCCTGCCGGAGCTAAAAAGAATCATTTATTCAAATTCGCGCCGGGTTACCGACGACGAACCTCTAGGGGCATCCAACAAGAAAAATCGATACAGGAATGTTTTCCGACAAATGTTCACCTTGTCTAAATGGAAAACAAGGATGCGGCTTTGATCGCTACTACCTTGTTTTT